GAAATAAAACATGGCAAGGATCTTGCACTGGTCGTTGTATTGATGTTGTGTCAAAGGGTTTGTACACAGTGAAGGGTGCAGATCTTAAGGCGCGCGACGTGTCATGGGAAGGGTGCTACTTCCAATAACTCCCCGCGCGCTCCACCCGATACAGACCGCCCTCTCTTTGAAACACGCTAATCTGCCGGTAACTGAAATAGCAACTTGGTACGAGTTTGCACAAATCCCGTGATTCCCTCTTTTTTGTTATGCTTAGCAGTGTACTTAGGCAACTAGAACAGACCCAGAAGAAAACTCAAACCTCAACTTTGACTGGTAAAATTCGCTTGAGGCCGTCATTTTAACAGTGTTTGATCCAAAGAAACTGACAAAATGAGGGACAAAAAAAAATCGGCCTTGAAAGTCTATTTTACAGCTCACAACCTGAGCAAACTTATTAAATCAAGGAACAAAGTGGAGGCGAAAAGGTCGTGTTTTCGGCCAGTTCGATGAATTATGAAGCAATCGGGGTATTTTGGCTACTGCGAATGTTCTTCCAGCACTTTTCATCAATTTTACAAGTATTCCACTTCTATCCAGTTGTACACGCGAGGAAATCGCGCGAGAGAGGAAACTGCGTGTGCGAGAAATGTAACAGGCGTAATGGCGAATTTCCTGTCAATGAGGGTTGTTTCAGTTTTAGGTCAGCTTGTAACACTGCAACCCTCTAATACAAAATGAAAATATAGGTTGACTTACCGATGAATGACCTACTTCATCTTTTATACAAATCACAGCGTTTAAATCCATCTATTAAAATTATCTATATTAAGTGGTATCATTGATACTACCATTTTGAATTGTTCTCAGAAACTATTGAGAAACACAGAACAACAGATTTTGTCAACTTTGTATGCCATTCGACCGGTTTCATCTGATCACACAGACTTCATCAGGGATTGTAGGCAGATTACTAAAGGTACTAGGTTTCTACTAAATGTGTACAGTACAAATCACGTTCAAATTATGGTATGCCAACAGCAAAATACTAACGAAGAAATGCACACTCTGAGGCTATTACGTTAATCAGCGCATTACTAAGTTCTGGGCTAGAAAATCGAAAATTAAAATAAATCATTTTGTCGCTTTCCCTAACAGTTCCTCGGGTTTTGCCGCACCAATCAAGTAAGGATGTTGTTTATTTGAGTCATAGACTTCCGTGTATACGGGTTCTTCGGCTGGACTCTTAATGTCTGGCGCACAATGCGACAAAACCACCGTATCAGCGTGCGCAAAAATGATGAGGCAGTGACGGAAATTAACAAAATAAAACCGATAACAAACTTTTGAAGAGCTTATGTCCACTCTCAGTCAAATTGACAAGTGAGACGAAGCTTAAACTAAAACTCTTCCGCATTCCTGTTCGTTATTTTATACAGTTAATTTTGGAATTGATCTCCCGGTTTGGCGGGGGAATCCCCTAATATATAGGTATGAGCGACACCGTACAATATCAGTTTGATTGCCCGTTTTGGTCTGAAACAAGGTATAGATTTTGACTATTTTGGTCAGAAATAGGGTATATTCTGCACCGCGGCTAAAATCGCACATATCATTTTAGATGAAACTAGTATTTCCCCCTCATTAAGATAGGTCAACTCGAAGTTCTTCACAAATTAAATCTTCAAGCACACAAAAATCAGTCCTGTTTAGCTGAGGTCAAGTATAAGATACGCGTGGTAACTCTAGAGGCCGCAAATAAGGTATTAATTTTTCGAGGCAGCTCTGAAAATACGCCAAAAAATAGCCCCATTAAAACTTTCGGGCTATATCTCCTACCTGGGATGGTTTTATTCGTGACCGATGAAGTTCTGCATGGCGCTGCTGAAGTCTCCGCTATAAGTTTGATTTCCGGCGGCGTCTCAGCTATCAGTTTAAATTTCAGACTATTTCTCAGCCATATCAGTAACGTTTCAGTGGCCATCTCAGATCCCAGCTAAAACGCGTCATGTCTCAACTAACGGTTAAATATTTGAGTTATCTTCAATCCCAGCCCCACCCTCCCAGATTACTTTCCATTTCAAAACAAGTTTCATCTCAGTCGGCAATTTCCGTTTCGTATTTCTTGTTCCGCTATTGCTAAATTGCAACACGTACGTCTGCTTTATAAAATGAGGGCCGAAGGATAAAGCTATTCAAAATATCGCCAATCGATCGAATTTTACTCTGCTAAAGTATGAGTGGAAGTACGCTGATAGAAGCGTTTGGTGACATTGTGTTCACGTTTACACGGAGTGTGACGGAGCATTACAACCCAGAAGAACCTGAATTCACGACGGAGTCTTTTGGCTACGATCCTCTACAAAGCACAGGTCGAGAATGGAATTATCATCCTGTTACTGAGCTTATTTACCAAGAGTACAGCGACAGACAACTCACCAGCGTTAACTATCTGCTAGCGACTAGCAGTCTTAAGGTGAGAGTCATAGATGCTTGTAAACCGGAGGAATGCGAAGAAACGGAAGATATTCAGCATGATGAAAACAAGGAAATGGCTTGGAAGAGGCTTAGACCATCCGCTCTTCGGACGGTTTTTAAATCAATGTACATTGGAGCCTTGATTTCACTTCTAACCGCCTCCATGATAGGTACAATATACTTATTGCTGTCTTATCTCAGCTATAAAACCGTCATGAATTGTGAATACCAATCAGACAAAATGGCAGTATTCGTGCAGTGGACGAGAACAATCGCCGATATAATTAGCACCGCCTTCTATTACATTTGCCCAGTTTCGACTCTGTTCCTTCTTTTTCGCCCATATCAGCTAAACGGAGTTAAAAGGAAACTGATTCTGGTCTCGTTCGTTATGTACTGTTTAGATTCACTCTATCGCGGAGTCCTACAAGCCTGGGGAAAACCTTTCTTTAAACTTACTGGTTTATTGAGCGCTTTGTCTGTTGGTCTAGTCTATTTTTTCGTTTTCACGAATGTCTGTTTGTTGTTCTATTTCGCCGCAAAACACGTGTTAGTACGTCCAAAACCCAAGCTGGCATTTCTGATTTGTAAAATGGCAATGCCAACTTTTTGCGCTCTTATCGCGGCCTTTGCCATCAGGTTTTTCGTTTACCCAGCCTATATCAACGAAAACAAAGAAGGAAAACTTTTAATCGCGCTCTTCTCTCCTCTCATGGGTGTGGCTTTCAAAGCAGTCTCACGAATTTGTGTTCAGCGGTTATGGAACATTACGCATCCGGGATATTCCTACGTTCTACTTGCACCGTTGTATTTTCTATTAGCGATAATGTTTAGAATTTTGCAAGCAGATCTTGACAGTCTGAAATCCATCGCTATTCTTGGAATAATTCATGGTTTTGCGGAAGTCGTGGAACGCAGCACCGTGGTTGTCATTGATCACGTCTGTCATCAAATTTGCAGACGAGAGTCATCTCCTTGGGGAAGTTTTCGTACTCCTCGCCGTGAAAGACTAATGGCTGATATCGCTATCATGAGCATGTTGTTTGAATCAACTGCTATAGTGTCTGTTAACGGCTTCTTACACTTGTATCAATGGATTTTCTTAGAGGACGATTCCCTTTTAAGCTTGCTGCAATCTTTCGTTATCCGCACTTCAGTTCCGCTGGTGATCGAGTGGTTTTTCACCAGCGTGTCTCTAGCGATCGAGACTCGGTATCAGAATATGGCTGTCATGGCTGTTTGGCGAAGACAGTGGAAAAGACACATTTTAGTGGCAGTCATTAATGTTTTTCCAGTGGCTCTATGGACTAGCGTTAATCTTCTAGGAATTGTACACGGGCGCTTTAGCAAACCTATAAGTGAGCCCTGTAAAATCCCGTTCAGTTAAAATGAGGGATTTACTGTGGTAGAACGGAACATGAAGTGCCACTTTTGAGAGACCTTCGTCGTTCGAAGCGCGGGAGAAATTTAATTTTTTTGTTTTATTTACTGCGGATTTTATCGTCCATTCCAGAGTGCTCTGCAAGCTATCACTGCGCGTGCATGGCCAGATGAGTATACGTTTTTATTTGGCGACGTTAGCGTCTTTTGGGAATTGGTAGGGAGTTTAAGAAAACCACGACAGCAACGGCAACGAAAACGTCGCTAAGTACATCTCATTGAAAGTTTTTCCACAATTTTATTCAGTGATACCACAGAGATAAACACAAAAACCTCATGCGGTAATGACTGTCGAAGGTCAAATACTTAAAATAGTTTGGTGAAAAAAAATGGCTTTCAATCGGACTGCGAATTATGCACCACTGCTAATCTAAATCTTACTCCCTTCAAAGTGATTTTATTTTTATCACTGTCGTCAATATCAACGATATTAAATACAAAATAAACTCTACAGTCTTGAATTGAAAGTAAATCGTCTCTTAACATACTGTAATGATACATTTGTACCAAGCACAGAGCAATTCCTAAAATGAGGGGGCCGTGCTTAGTATATAATAACAACATATTACAGTGGAACCTCGCCTTACGGCGAATACGGCCACCCCGTTAAAAAGGCCACCTCGTTATTACGACCGCTTTATTCTGGCCCGAACAAGAGCTCAGTCAGTCATTTCTTATTCAAAGAACCCCTTTATAAGACCACACTATTAATACGGCCAGATTTATGTGGCTCGTTGGTGAACGATGAACGGCTCCACTGTATAACACGGGTTTATAATTAGGTGGTTTTCTCATGTACGGGGGGTGGCATGTAAGATGTGTGGGTGGGGGCGAGGAGAGTTCGAAGAATAAGTTAAACTAACTACTGTATGCCTTAAATAATAAAGACAAAACAAACAATTTTAAAAAGAAAATAAGATAATGGCCTACAAACGAAACAGTTAGCCTCCTTTTCTTAATTTGCTTTTCCGAAGAAACTAAAAACGATAAAATTTTGTTGAATGTAGCACAGTTTTTCTTTGACAAAATAATCTTTTTTAGCATTCAAACAAGTTGCCGCATTTTTTCTTAATTTGCTTTTTACCAATCGTAACACTCTTCATACAAAATTAATTTATCAGTCAAGATTTATCGCACGTGAAAAACTTTCCTTCGTCTAGCCACGTTTTCGCAGAAAACGTTACCGACATTGGAAACGTGGATAGTGGAAAGGACTGGTTCCTTCTGCTATCCATGGATTACAACATCGTTGGATTAGTTGCAAATAAGCGGTTTGCATGATGGCGTCATTTGACTACGACTACCAGAATCCTTCACTTTTTCTGTTTCATATGCTAATTAGGTGTTATTTAAAACCCACTGGGAATTCAAAATTTGAATAATAAAGAAAAAAACGAAAGGAATTCTGGTAGTTGTAGTCAAATGACGACAACGTGCAAATCTGCTATTACTGAGTTGTTTTCATAAATGTGATATTTTCACGGTTCGCACGTGTGCAAGCTATGATTTGGTCCACCTAATTCTATTGTGTATAAACCAATCGGATGCGAGCACATAATTTATACGCTTTTTCAGAATAAAACGGTCGGGGTAAATAGTAAATTCGGTATTCAATACCAGATTCGACATTTTATGTGGAAATCCGTTGATATGTTCCATTCAACTTGGGCATCAGTTATTCTCCTAGCCATCGCGTAACGTAACCGTATGGCTACACCGAGGCAAACTTTAGTCTGTTATTACTGAAATATACTGTGTTGATTCGAGAACGATAATGTCTTTTATGCATACATGGACTCGGAACATAAGAATTAAACAATTCTAATGAGAAATCTTATACCTCTATCTTTGCGCTTTCGAAGAGTTATTTGCTCGCTTCCGATTGTTTTACAAACAATGGAATTGAATGGTTAACGCTGTAACTTGCATACGCGCCGAGCCGTGAAACACTCCCTTTTAAAATGAATTTTCTGAATAGAATTATGGAATAGACCAATTTCGATATATTAAAATTCAGCCTAAAACAATAGACTTCAATACGAGGCTCCGGGGAATAACTAAAGAGTTTGTGGGGTTTATTCCCCGGAGCCTCGTGCTGAGGTCTATTGTTTTAGGCTGAATTTTAATATATCGAAATTGGTCTATTATTTGGCCGTGTCTCGAAAGGACTGGGTACTACTAAATTCACGAATATGATTGGCTTAACCGATATTGACCACGGTCTAGATTTTCCTGTCTAGACCAGCCTCTAGACCGCTTTGTCTTCTAAATTCGGAGTGAGAAAGTTGCAAACAGAAATAGTGGATATTACACGGTGGCGAGAAGATATGAATTTTATGTTCGAGTGGCAAAAACAAGAGAGAACATAAAATTTATATAGTAAGTAAGTAAGCAAGTAAGTAAGTAAGTAAGCAAGTAAGAATTTATTTTACGAGGGTAACATTTGACAGTAATAAAACTGATAGCCTAATGGCCCTCAAAAATTAAAATTTGAAAAAGAAAGAATATCTTTGAGCCAACGTATAATGTTCTTTTTGTTATACAGATAAAAACTACAGAAGAGAAGGGACAAACCCGTATGTAAAGAAAGTTGGACCTTTCGGGTTATCTAAGTAACAACAGCAATTGCTGCAACTTGTGTAGCCAGTAAACTTTTCACCCGAAATAAGAGACTTCGCTCATTAATCAGGAGATATGTAATTTTAGGACTTTAAATTTACATTTACATACAATTTTAGAATTTTAAATTTCACCATTTTAATTAATGCGTTTCTAAGGGCAACATATATTCTTTTATTACAGAACAATGTTTCTATTCTATTTTAAGTATGTACTTACATTGTTGTTAATGTTAATACAGTGTCCCCAATTAGCCCACATGGGCTAAATACATTGACACTTAAATAAAGTTCTTACTTACTTACTTTTTACTTAGAACAAGTTTCATATATTTAAGGAAGGATTTTGGTCCGCCTTGGCGAGTCATAGGTAAATGTTTGGTTCTTTTATTTTTTAATATTCCTTTGTTACATGTCGTCGTAATTATGATTGACGGCAGCCAAAAACGCAATGGTTAGTGAGGTTTTGAACTTTGGAGTTCGTGTGTTATTGAAAGGCACAATACGGACCCTATAAATACGCTCAGAAATTACTTTCGATGTCAAAATTGCATCGCAGCACTTTCAGTTTCGTGTCGCATGTTTGACCAAGCGTGCCGGAATCGAAGCGACTGTGGAAAGCATCATCGCAGGCCGCAAGATAAAGTTATTCAAAATATCCGCGGTAAACCGATATATAAAATCTGACAGTTGTCTGACAAGTAGCGGTGGAGTAATTAGTACAATGAGTGGAAGTACGCTGATAGAGGTGTTAGGTGACATCGTGCTTAGATTTACGCGAAGCGTAACGGAGCATTACAACCCACAAGAACCTCAATTCACGACAGAATGTTTTGGCTACGACCCTCTACAAAGCACAGGTCGAGAATGGAATTATCACCCTGTTGACGAGCTTATTTACCAGGAATACAGTGAAAGAGAAGTCACCAGCGTTAACTATCTACCGACTAATAGTCCTGATGTGAGAGTTATAAATGCTTGTTCACCGGAGAGCGAAGAAAAACAGGAAGATCAGCAAAATGAAGACAAAACAATGGCTTGGAAGAGGCTCAGACCATCCGCTCTTCAGACGGTTTTTAAATCAATGTACATTGGAGCTTGGATTTCACTTTTAACCGCCTGCAAAATAGGTACAATATACTTATTGCTGTCTTATGTAAGCTACAAAACGGTATCGAACTGCGAGCAGATAGACATAGCTATTTCAGCTCGAGTTGAATGGATGACAACAATTGCTGATATAATCAGTTGCTTCTTCTATTACATTTTCCCACTCTTGAATCTGCTTCTTCTTTTTCGACCATATCAGCTAAAAGGAGTTAAACGGAAACTGATTCTGGTTTTGTTCGTTATGTACTGTTTGGATGCACTCTATCGCGGAGTCCTACAAGCCGCGAGAAAGCCTTTCTTCAAACTTTCTGCTTTATACAGCTCCTTGTCAAATTTTCCAGTATATTTGTTCGTTTTCACTAATGTCTGTTTGCTGCTCTATTTCGCCGCAAAACACGTGATTGTACGTCCAAGACGCAAGCTGGCATTTCTGATTTGTAAAATGGCAATGCCAACTTGTTTAACTATTATCTCAGGCTTTGCCATCAGATATTTTGTTTACCCAGCGTATAACAAACAATACACTGAAGGTAAACTTTTAATCGCCCTCTTCTCTCCACTCATGGGTGTGGTTGTTAAAGCAGTCTCACGTATTTGTGTTCAGCGGTTATGGAACATTACGCATCCGGGATATTCCTACGTTCTACTTGCACCGTTGTATTTTCTATTAGCGATAATGTTTAGAATTTTGCAAGCAGATCTTGACAGTCTGAAATCCATCGCTATTCTTGGAATAATTCATGGTTTTGCGGAAGTCGTGGAACGCAGCACCGTGGTTGTCATTGATCAC